TGTCACCAAAGCTCTTCACAAAACTTCTTCAGTGAAAGTGTTTTTTTTTACCAGTTTTCATACCTTAGAAAATGTGACACCATCTGGCATATTTTTGCATGCATCTATGTAAATATCAAATCCCTGGTCTTGATTGTAGGGTTCACTTGGAGGTGAGCTCCTCTTGCATGGTAGCCAAGCATTCTTGAAATTATACAAAAAGAATCACCAAATAAAAGGTAATCAAAAACATTATAAGTACTGGTTGGCCCATATGTTCAATTGTCTAATAACATTGTTTGCTTTTTCATACATATCTGACATGTGTTAGGGTTTGAAATCTCCCAACATTTGACAAAAAACATACAACATCATACTAGGAAAAATAATAACACACCACATCAGTCTAAAAATAAACAGAGAGAGAGAAATAATCTCTCTCTCTCTCCCCAAATAAATAAATTTAAAGATATAAAAAGATAAACAAGGCATTTGACAAATACCTTAGGCAGAGTATCATCTTCTTGGTCTGATGCTTCACTTGGAGTGAGGGAGCCAGGGCGGGGTTTTCCATGGAACAGTCTAAGCCGTAATGTGGCTCGTCTGAACCTCCTAACTCCCTGGGGCTTCCATCCCATCTCCAGGGAGATAGTGTCTGTCTCTGGTACTGGAGGCTCATACAGCAGCACTGTGTGAGTGCCAGTATTCACAGTGGACTGGTTGATGTTACTTCTATGATAACTGCTATACATATCACCTAGAAATTTAAGTCATAATATGGATCCTGTCCTATGAGTGTGAAATAATGCTTGCTTTACCAAAGCTTACATGTTAAAGACACTCTTTACACAGCTGATAATTATTTCAGTGATTAGTGTAAACATACAGAATGTAATCTACTTCAAAACTGTCAATTTCTTCTATCTATATGTGTCAGTATTCCCCATTACTTCCCACTTACTCCTCCTGCCACTGGTGACAACTAGAGGCACTGCCCCCCAGGCAACCAGAGTACTTTCATCAAAATGTGAGTCATCGTCATCATCTCCCGTCCTCCTTCTCTGGAGATCATTCTTACTCAGATACACTCTAGCAATGATCACTATATCAGGTTGAATGTTTACTCCTTGGAATATGGCCTCTTGCTGTCCAAAGACGTGATACTTGTACTTGAAGTCAGCTCCTACACCACTGGTGCTGCAAGTTACTGGCCCTGTGACAGACTGGACAATCTGAAACACAAGCAATTAGTGATAGCTGCACATATATTCAAACCATCTTGGATCCTGTCACAATATTACACAATTGTTTAATACATACATGCACTACCACTAATGTTTATAAGTTTGACAAATTACTCAACATACAAAATAAGAAATTACTTTATCAAATATATTCGTATCATAATAGAGAGAGTCAAATCTCCTGGTTAAATTAAATGTGCATCATATTCTCAACAACATGTTTTGTTTATGAGAATAAAGGTGTTGTCACTGTCATTGTCACATAAAAAGGGGGACAGGTTCAGCATGATGTACGTACTTTCCCAGAGTGGATGTGATATGCTGCCAGTCGCACCTTGGCCAAACCCTGGTCTGCACCCTTCACATGGCCAACCTGGAACCCCAGGGTCTTACTCTCTCCTGGGGTCAGCACACCTCTGGTACAGAGAAAACAAAGAGCATCTGGTCATATAATATAATATTTTTGCTGATGTGTAGATTTTTTTAATGCTATGGTGAACTATTTTACATCCGAGCACAAGAAAAACTGTTTACATGTATGTTAAAACACTTTAATCTTTCTGTACATGCTAATCACTTAAAATCCAGATTTTTTTTAGCACAATGACATTAGCACTTATATAAAGTTCATGCTATCTGAACATTTAAAACAATATGAATACCTTCAAAAATAAAAACAATGTAATCAATAAATAAAATATTAAAAACTGTCTCATAGTTGCACCACCTAAACTATTGCACTTATTACAAAATAAAACCATTTTTCCAAAAACAAAAATACCAATATATGTGCTACATTACAAACAAAATCTTTATATGAATAGGACAACATAAAAGGGACATTGCTGTATATAAAACAAGGGGAAAACAGACACTGTGACAAGCATGTGTGTGTGTGCGTGCATGAGTGCATGTGTGCGCACGTATCTTAAATCAAAACAAAAAATGAAAAAAAAAGAAAAAAGAAAAAAAACACATGCATGCTACAAAAACCTTCCTGCTAACCCGCTACTAAAGACATCATGCTAGAAGCAATATTAATATACAATATGTCAACTTACAGTGCATGTTAGCCATGTTTACACCAAACAGATGCCCATTTAACTGTAATTTAGAATGACTGAGCTGGGGGGGATGAGAAGGAGAAAGGAATAAAAGCAAGGGGATGATGGAAGCAGACGAAAAAAGACAAAAAAAAAAAAGTAGACAAGAGATGTCTCAGGTAAGTTTGGTGGTGTGTATGCAGTAAGGTGATAAGATGGCTTGAAGAAAGGTATTATAGTAAGAGAGAGGTTCTGACCCTCCCTTCGGTTTCTGGAAAAAATCACACCAATATTTCCAACTTGATATTAGAACTTTGAAGAGCTGAATCATAGTTCTAACATGCACTAAATGGCACTGTTTGCCCTCAAAAACACCAAAACCCACACCAAGGGGGTAAGGGTCAGCTTCGCATCTGAGGCCTGTCATTCTTAAAAAAAAACATGGACCCCCCCCTTTAAATAATCCTGAATTCTCATCTGATCTGAATTGCAATTTTTTCCTATATATCTTAATCTTCTATTTTCTTTTTGTTAATTTTTTTTTTTTCATTTCTATAGCTTTTTAACAAATGAGATTTTTGTCTGTCAGTCTTTTCGTTTCATCTTTGCTGTTAAGAAAAAAAAACTGAAATAATTGCAGCACTTGAGAGTTCTATAAGTTATGCCTATTGAGCATTTCTGACACTAAATGATATCATATTTAAGGGGTGTAATAGGGTAAAATGGCCTTAAAATAATTTTTTGAGTTTTTTTATGTGTTTATATTAATCAAAAAGGTATCTAACATTGGAGGTAATTTTTTTATAGTTTGCACAGAAAAATGTGTCTTTTGATGAGTTTTTCAAGCGGCACGCGCCCCAGTAAAACTGATGACCAAGCCAAACCTCTGTTGATAAGGGCCATTGCCATGATGGACTTAGCAAAGTTAATGAGTTATAAGGCAATTTAATTTGTGCAGTAACACGGCGTAAGTCTTACATCAGCTAAGCAATGAATAAGTTTAGTATGCCATGGGGAAGAGAAAAGTATGCGTTAATGATACATTTTCTGAGTAAAGAAAGAAAATTTTGAAAAAGCGTTTGCGGTGAAGTAAACCAGTTAATTCATTTTTCAAAAGATATGAATAGATTGACCTTTTTTTTTCGATCAACCCTGGTTTCCAAACTCACCAACACTCTGTCATTTTATCCAAAAACATCTTCTGAGCCACTTTTACTGCTGATTCTTGTGCACCCGAATGTCTTCCTTTTATCTTTGCTGGTATTTTGCAAGATGGTGCTCTAAAGTAATCACTGGGTTTTTATGTCGATCCTGACAATGACCGAATGCCGTGAAAACAATCTTGCATCGTTACTTGCCAAAAACTCGCATTAACACGAGTGACAGACACTTTCTCCCAACAGATACATAAAAATTTGCCGATAACAGAGAAGGAAGCGCCCAGGTAAAGTTGCTCGATTGCGTGGAAGGCCCACAGAAACATTCAAATGCAACTTCACACCTCTTAATTACAGTTGGTCATAATTCGCCGTTGTTTGTGCTTCCTTCTACATAGCTTTGACTCTCTGGTCTGCATCACTAGGCTAGGGCCCTGTGCAGAGCTGTCAATCAAAATGGCGGCATGCTTACAAGTCTAGCATGTGATCGGAAAATGTTTAAAAAACATGATTTTCTGGCATTTCATAGCACCCAAATAAAATATTACTAGATGGTAATGAGCAATGGTTCCATCTGATCGTATAACCGATAACAGGTAAATTTCTCAGCTAAGAATTTGGCTAATAAGTTCTGTTAACCAGCCTGTGAACGTTTTAGCTGTTTCAACAGCTTTCCAGGTTGACCAGATAAGTGAATCTGTTTCAAGTATAACTCCCTACCTAAGCAACCGGTTGTTATGAAAATTTTACTAATTGTTGTGGAGAATGTGGACTACAGATAGATATCAGGGATTCTGAAGGAAACTGTTTGTTTGAAAGTTATTGTCTTTTGTAGTGAATAACCCATTGAAATATGGGGTAATTTAACGTAAAAGACAATAAAATCAGAAGGAAATAGTTTAAGACAATTCCCTGGTATCCTTCAGTAGTGCTTTCACCCAGCTTTATGATGCCATTTGAATCACTTGAATAGCTGTCTTGGTTATAGAGAAAACCCAAAACCGAAGATGGCATTTTTTTCCCCAAAATGGCATTACAGCATCATCCTGTGGACACTGCACTTAATCTCTGTATTTAGTTGGCCTTTTGGGAAGTAAGTTTTTTTAACAACATATAAGAACAGGGTGTTGTTTCTATGCTTTTATCTGTTTTTCCTTTACATCCCTTAACACCACATCAGTTCAGCAAAACTTTACAAAAGCCCATTTGTTATGTGCAAACAGTAACACTATTGGATATCACCTGTCTTGTTCTATTTTTGACTATAGTTACTGTAACAAAGATTACTCCAGTGGATATCAATACACATATATATATTTTCAAAGCACAGTATAAACAAACTGTCATCTCAGATATTGATATCTGCATGACTAAAATGATGTAAAACACACACAGAATTTGATTTCTAATTTGACTCATAAAATAATTAATCATAAAAAAATATATGATAAATTGATTTCTAATTTGATTCATAAAAAATTAATCATAAAAAAAAATATATGATAAATTGTGATAAAAAATCTGATAAATCTAAAATACTTCAGATATAGAGAAGTGCAGTAGAAGGCAGCTCCTACCTGTTTTCAGGAGAGGTTTGGTTGTACCTGGATTCAGAGGGGGACTGAGGGGGGGACAGGGTGGGGGGAGGGGGGACAAAGTGGGGAGGCTGGTGCAAGCGAGATGCCTGGAAGAAAATAAAATATAACATGCTTGTTAGACTATAATATAAAGCATAACATGCAGTTTAAGTACCATTATTAAAAATAAAGTTACACTAAGATATTAATTTTTTAGAATTGATTAAAACAATTTAAAGCCAAATGACCACCATGCCAACACAGGTCCTGGGATATGTGATTGAAATCTTAATATCCATGCAACCAAACATACAGTAGTAATAATAACATGCCTTACATTGAAAATATTTAGTTTCTTTGCTACATAAAGGGTGGCTTACTTATGCTACATCTTTATTTTAAATAGGTTTGCAAATAGGGATATCAATTTAGATGAACCAGCGTTAGCACTAACAACTAATTTGTTCTGCAGAGGTTATGAAAATTAATATTTCGTTAAGGCAATATGGCAGAGTACATATGGTGATAACTTTGCTGCTATTAACAGGGGTTAGAAAGCTCCCATGACACAACAGGTTAAATGATACAGCAGACACCAGAGTTAATACCTCATTCAAGGAAAGAAATGTGGTCTGAGAGGAAGTTCTAGAGGCTACAGGGTAAGCTTGGTAAGAGGCACGCTGAAAATGAAAACAGAAAGGGAAAATATTTCTATCTCCCTCAGGTTATAATAGCAAATAGTAGTGTATCACACTGACATAAAAGGTTTTAGCTATATTCACTATTAAAGGTGAAAATCATAAAAAACAGCAAGTGTTTGAGACAAAAACCCTCAACTCCAACTCTCTTTCCCAATGCTCAATTAAATAAGAAGAGACAGTATGCAGCAGACTAATACATTGTACGGGTGTAAGCATATGAAATAACTAGGGACTAAAACTGTGCTTAGGAAACAAGACCAGGTAAGGCATCACCCCATGTAAATTACCTGTGGAGGGTATCTGTAGAGATAACTGTTCTGTGTGGTGACACTGACCATGGCCTGGCTGGCAGCATCCCTGGCATTCACTATCCTTAGGTACAGCTCTGCTACTCCATACTGAAACAGTACACATCATTAGTTAAAATAATATAACCTTAGACCTGGATACATTCTGGTGTTAATTTTCACACTGTGTGACAATAATGAAAGTATGTTAATTCATACATGTAGAGTGTCGTATTAATACAACTCATTTTCATCATCATGTACATTTGCTCACTCCAGATGTTAAAACTTGACATGTGTTCCAAATTTCTTGTTATTTGTGGTATATAGTGTAGTTTTACACTTTCTATTTTTATGTAAAAATTGAAACTACCTAATAAACATAAAATACATGACCCTTTAGCCCATACTGTACCTTTAACATTAGCATATTCTGCCCAGTTTTGAAGTGCTAAAAAAACAACAAACAATATCCATACCTGTGGAATAGTGTTCAGCTCACTGGTCTGAACATGTTGTCTCACAGGAAGAACTCTGAATGGCACCTTCCACCGTCCACTCTGGACACGCATGCTGTCGTCAAACAAGTCCACCTTGGTCCAGGCTCTGGACACCAGTTTACGGGAGTCGTTATGTGAGCCCGTGCCTCCTGAGACCTGCATCTCCACCACGATACTCATGTCAAGGCTGGGAGGGCAGCTGGAATCCAGTGATTATATAAAGGGCAGTTAAATTAAAATGACTCAATACAGAGAGAACAGTGTATAAAACAGACATTTTCAAATTTGCTTTGTACTGCCATCTCACAATATGGGTTTAGTGTATGATGCTGCCATCTAGGATCCACTGCAGCCATTCAAGAGACAGAATGGATAAACTAGATTGTCCTACAATGATGGGACCTGTATTTATTTGCCACAAAAATAGAATTATTCCAAGGCATTAAAAATGACAGTGTGTCTGACTTTAAGGCTTGCTTACTTAGGCACTGGCTGCTTTGTCCCCACAACTGCCACACTGGCTCCCTGCATGTAGCTGGTGGAGCCCTGGGGTGGCTCACAGTACACAGTGGGCAGGATGGAGGGCTCCATGTCTGCCATGGTGCTGTACAGACCCACTATCAAACGACAGCTCTTCAAGGATGGCTCTAAACCCAACACGTAGTCATAGAACACAACAAAGCCAGCCCTAGGAAAAAGATGTTTAGTCATCTGACAAGTATAAAAGTCAGAGATACTAATGACTATTCTTTAAAAGAAAAGATACAATAGAGGTAATATGGTTTTTTACTTATTGTGTTATCAACGAAAGTGCACACCGGTGACGACAACAGATGCAGGTGATAGCTAAACGTACAGACTGTGTACATGCACATTAAAAGTTTATTCAGTACATGATACATTCCATTAAACACTGTACCCAACCAGTAAAGTTAGTGGGTAGTCAGAATAAAACACCATCACATTATATACAAATATCCACAGCCTTTCACCTACTACCTTATATTTTAGAATAAGTTCACTGTGTGTACATACTGAGGATCATAAGGAGCTGGTGAGAGGGGGTCAGAGTCCACCATGGTGTTACTGACAGGGGCCATGTGCCTCTTCTGGAGCAGAGCTGGGACTTCTGCCTCCTCATAACCTGACCTATGAGAGTGGAAGCTCTAAAAGTAACAAAAAAAATAAAAAAAAAACATATATATTTATATATATACAGTCAGTCTCTCTCTCTCTCTCTCTCTCTCTCTCTATATATATATATATATATATATATATACACACACACACACACACACACACACACACACACACACACACACACACACACACACACACACACACACACACACACACACACAC